CAGCCCCCCCCCCCCGGGGGGAGGGGGGTGACATGGGCACAACTTCTGCCAGGGGCCGGGTACTAAAAAGAGACGGCAAAGTGCCCTGCGGGGCAGCCAGGCCCCGGGAGCGGCTCAGAGCCAGCTGAGCTGCGGGGGAGAGGGCAGGGGCAGCAGGACCCTGGAGGGTGGGGGGATACAGGGTCCCCCCCAGGCTGGATCGGGGCCGGTTCCCCCCCTCCAACAGAGGCTGCGGGGGGAGGTGGGCTTTGCTGGTGCCGATGGAGGGGGGCAGGTGGTGCCATGGCCACTGGTCCCCCGTGCCCGAGCCCTGCTGAAGCAGTGCGGTGGTGGTGGTGGGCTGCGGTGACGGGGGGCTGTTGGTGCATCCGGGGGGGCCAGGCGCTGGGAAGCATGGTGGCCCCATCAGGGTTGGGGGCTCTGCCACTGCCGCCGAGCTCAGATGACTTTGGGGTCTTTCCTCTCGCCCAGCAGCCAGTATGTCCGCATCTTCCCCTTGCCCTGGGGGGCGGAGGGGGGTGGTGAGACCCTCCCTGCCCCCGCCACTGCTCCTTGGGTGCCGTCCCCAGCACTGAGGGGGACAAGGGGTCCCAGCCCTGAACCCACCCACCCATTGCATGCCCCTGCAGCAGGAAGGGCTGGCACCCCACCAGGGTCCCCACGCCCTCACCTTCATCTCCACGTCCCCGCGCAGCTCCAGCTCGAAGCAGCCAAACTCATCCAGGACCTCCTTGGTGGTGGACGAGACGTGGATCTTCAGGGCTGGGTGGCAGAGAGGGGCAAAAGGGACATGGCTGGGTCCGAGAGCGGGGCATGACCCGTGGCACCAGACCCCAGCTGCCGGCCCCATGGCTCACCCTGGCCGTTGGACTCCATGCGGGATGCAGTGTTCACCGTGTCCCCGAAGAGGCAGTACCGCGGCATCTTCAGACCCACGACTCCGGCACACACGGGACCTGCGGGCACAGAGATGCCCGGGGCTGCTGCAGGGTGGGCGGGTGAGCAGCCCCCAGCCGCGGTGCCGGCCAGCGCCGGGGCTCACCGGTGTGTACGCCGATGCGCAGGCGGAGCTGGTCGTTGGGCCGGTGCCGGATCTTGAAGGTTTTGACGGCCTCGAGCAGGGCCAGGGCCATGCGGACAATCTCGCGGGCGTGCAGCTTCCCGTTGCGCACCGGCAGCCCCGACACCACCATGTAGGCGTCCCCGATGGTCTCCACCTGCGGGGTGAGGGGGAGCCAGTACACCCCGGGCTCCTTGCTGCCCGCCTCACTGCGGGGGCCTGCGCTTGCTCACCCCCCCCCTCACCTTGTAGACGTCGAAGTTGTCGATGATGGCATCGAAGCAAGTGTAGAGATCGTTCAGCAGGGTCACGACCTGGATGGAGCAAGGGTGCGTTTGGGGCTGGGAGCAGGCATGTCCCCCCAGCCCCAGGGATGGCACTGCCAGGGTATGAGTCCCCCCACCAGCCCCGCAGGGGGGTTGCCCCCAAAGCCCTGCTCTCACCTGCATGGGGGTGCTCTCTGCTGAGAGGGCGGTGAAGCCCACAATGTCACTGAAGTAGATGGTGACGCTGTCGAAAGCCTCGGCCTGCACCGTCTCCCCGCGCTTCAGCTGCTCCGCCACGGAGCTGGCGATCACAGGGGGGATGGTGGTGGGCTCCCACCCCAAACCCCCTGTTTCCCCTGTGTCCCTTGCCCTACGCCGGCATGGAGAGCTGGCAAGGGACCCCATGCTTGCACAGCAGCGGGTGCATGCTGACCCCATGCCAACCCCCAGACCCACACGCTCCCGTCTCTCCCCCTCTCACTGGGGCAGAATCTGGTAGAGGAGGTTCTCCGCCTTGCGTTTCTCCTCCAGGTAGGCCTGTGTCCGCTCCTCCACCAGCTTCTCCAGGTTGTTGGCATACTGCTCCATGCGCGACAGCAGGTTGTCCAGGATGCTGGTGCTGCCCTCCCTGCCGGGATGCAGGTAGCTGGCACCATGGGAAGAGATGCCCCCCAACCACCGCCCCCATGACTGTCCCCGCTCCCGCCCAGGGCCACCTTCCCCGCTCGCCAGCCACCCACTTGTTGAATCTACGGATGAAGATCTTGATCTGGCTGAAATCAGGGCGCTCGGCCGGCTCCTGCGCCCAGCAGCGCTCCATCAGCACTGCCAGCTCCTCGCTGTGCACCCCAATGTCGATGGAGGGGCGGAAGAAGGGTTTCTGGCTGTTACGCACCTTCTGCACGATCTCTGCCGGGGGGTGGCCGACGGTGAGCACCAGACCTCCCCGGTGGGGATGGGACCGCCCCACACCCACCCTCCACCCTCACCTTTGGGGCTCAGGTCCATGCCCTCGATGTAGAAGGGGCCATTGCGCAGGGCGACCTCCTGCACGATGATGCCGAAGCTGTAGACATCAGCTTTCTGCATGCCCGGGGTGGGCAGGTGCCCCTTCTGCAGCAGCTCTGGGGCTGTCCACAGCTTCTCTGGTGGGACACGGACACGGGGTGGTGAGTCAGGGCCACTCCATCCCCCTGGTCCCCCGGTCCCCGGTGGTGGGCACTCACTGGCATAGAGGGCGTGCGTGTCCTCGCTGTCACAGGGTGAGCGGAAGCTGGCCAGCCCGTAGTCGGGGATCTTCAGCACGACGGCTGGCACGGGCCATTGCGCAGGGCGACCTCCTGCACGATGATGCCGAAGCTGTAGACATCAGCTTTCTGCATGCCCGGGGTGGGCAGGTGCCCCTTCTGCAGCAGCTCTGGGGCTGTCCACAGCTTCTCTGGTGGGACACGGACACGGGGTGGTGAGTCAGGGCCACTCCATCCCCCTGGTCCCCCGGTCCCCGGTGGTGGGCACTCACTGGCATAGAGGGCGTGCGTGTCCTCGCTGTCACAGGGTGAGCGGAAGCTGGCCAGCCCGTAGTCGGTGATCTTCAGCACGAAGCGGCTGTCCACCACACAGTTGGATGACTTGAGGCTGCCGTGGTGGCCGATGATGCTGTTGTGCAGGAAGGCCATTCCCTGGGACAGATGGACATTGTGAAGTTGGCATCCCTCAGGCGCCTCCCACAGCCCCTCATGCCCCTCACTTGGGTACCTTGACGATGTCGTTGATGAGGGAGTAGCGAAACATCCAGTCCAGGTTGATGCTCTCGTTCTCCAGGACGTCCTGGGGCAGCACATTGAGTGGACCCCACCAAGCACCCAGGGGATGGTGGCACCAGCACCAGCCTCACCGAGCACCCAGCTGCGGGAGGCTCCATGGCACCCACCCACTCCCCTCCACTGGCCTCTGATGCCTGCTTGGGCAGCTCTGCTGCAAGTCTTGTGGGGCTGTAGATGGCCACCAGCATCTACAGCCCTGTCCTCAACACCCAACCCAGCCCGGTCACCTGGAGTGCCCAAGTGTCACCCCCGGTGCCCCCAAACCCCCCTACCTGCAGGCTGCCCCGTGGGCAGTACTCGGTGACAATGCAGATGTTGGGGGGGTCGATGCATGCTCCGATGAAGCGGGTCAGGTGGTTGAACTGGATGTCCCGCATCTGGAGGTGGAAGCGGAGCCCAGATGGCACTGAGGTTGGGGGGGGGGGATGCGCTGCTGCTCCCACCAGCCCCCTCCACTGCCACAACCCACATCTAGCCCCGGCACCCCCAGGCGGGGTGCCCAAACCTACATGTTTCAGCTCAAAGAGCACCTGCCGCGTCAGCTCGATGCGCTTCTTGTTGATGTGCTTGATGGCCACCACGTTGCCCTGGGGTGCCAGGAAGGGGGAAGAGGTCAGCGCCCGCTGGGCAGATTTGGGGAGGGGAGGAAGGTGCCGGCATCCCATAGGGCAGGGGTGCAGCCAAGGGGGAGCACCCCAACAGGGTTGGGAGGTTTCGGGGGGAGGGCCCAGCTCCCCACCTGCCACACTGACCTTGAAGTGGCCGGTGTTGGCGAAGATCTGGTACTTGCCGTGGGTGGTCATCAGGGAGCCGTAGCTGGAGCCACGCTGCGGGGAAGGAGGGGGTTAGGGGTGGGGACCCCAAGGCAGGGGGTGACAGGCACCAACGGAGCAGGGCAGGGACACCCAGGGGTGTGCAGGAGATGGTGCAGGACGAGCTCTGAAGGGTCAGGACAAGCTCTGCATGCTCTGTAGGGAGGGTGAAGCCTATAGGGTGAGGTATGGTGCACTGCAGGGGATGTAGGGGGGTGTAGGGGATGGAGGGCGACGTAGGGGCTTAACAAGGTATGGTGCTCTGTAGGGGATCAGGGCTGTGTAGGGGGTGGATCAAGCGTGGCTCTGGAGGGGATGGAGGGTCATGCAGGGGATGGATGAAGTGTGGCTCTATAGGGGTTGGAGAGCTATGTAGGGAGGGAGGGCTGTGTAGGGGATGGATGCAATGGGGCTGTGGCTCTGTAGGGGACGGAGGGCCGTGTAGGGAATCAACAAGGGAGGAGCGTCGTGCAGGGAGGGAGGGAGGCGCAGGGGCAGGGGCAGGAGGAGGGTGGTGCCCTGGGACTGGCAGCTCTCACCAGGGACAGGGTGAGCCGGCTGCCTGCTGCCTTGTGGTACCGGTCGGGGCTCCCGAATTGCAGCTCGTCCCAGCGGATCCTCCAGAGCATGCTGGCAAGCTCCTTCTCCAGCATCAGCTTCCTGGGGGGCACACTGGGGTCAGGCCCCCATATCACCCCACCCTGCCCGCCCCCCCCAACAGGCTGAGGGGTGCCCGGTGCCCAGGCAGAGGCTTCCCCAGCCCCAACTGACCTGAAGATGAGGAAGCTGGAGATGCCAAACATGACGAAGGTGAGGCCGGTGCCCAAAGCCACGATGGCCAGCATGGAGAGGGGGGCTGCTGGCATGAGGGGGTATCAGTGTGGCCTGACTGGCCACGGGTACCAGGTTCCCATGCACCCACAGGGAAGGGTGCTGGGGACCGAGGGATGTGGGAACCTGGTGTACCCACTTTTATCGCAGGAGGGGTCATCCACATCGAAGACGCAGGGCGGATTGTCCAAAGGGGGGGCCCCTTTCACCCAGGGGATGGGTCGTCCCAGCCAGTGGATCTGCTTCTCCACACCTGAGTAGTGTCCCACCACCTACGGCAGAGAGAGCTGAGACCCCCCCAGCCCCCAGCATCCCATCCCCCAGCCCCGGCTGCCGGCAGCATCCCGGTGCCGGCCCCCACCTCGTACTGCCCGCTCTCGGGGTCACCCATGGCCCATAGGTTGAAGTCGGTGTCCCGGTCATTGTTGCTGTCCATGCTCACCAGCCCCGTCACCCCTGCGGGAGAAGAGAGACCCAGGTGGGACAGGGACCGGGTACACCGCCCCCGTGGCAACCCTGTCCCGGCCACCCCCATCCTATCCTTACCCTGGAACTTGCGGTCCCGCATCTTCTCGATGATGTGGGTGGCGTTTTTCTTGGAGCCACCCTCCCGCAGGGTCTCGTTCAGCACCATGGCGTACAGCAGCATCCCATCATAGAAACACCCCGCCACCAGGTTCATCTGCCGGGGGAGACCTCAGCGCACCTGTGGCCACAGGCACAGGGGTACCCCGGCCACAAGACCCCCACACCAGGGCCACGCACCCACCCACGGCTCCACAGTCCCACATGGGGGCCACACTCGCACCCACGGCTCCATAACCCCACACCAGGGTCACGCACCTACCCTGTGGGGATGGCACTGCCTGTGGCTGTTGCCACCAGGGATGGCCCCTCTGGCACTGCCCATGGCCGTGTCCCACCCTCTGCACCCTGGTGAGGTGCCACAGCCCCATGGGGAGGGTCCCCACTGCCCCATCATGCAGGGTGACTCGCTCACCAGGGAGTAGTTGAGCTGCACGCCAAATTTCTGCTTGGCTCGCAGGATGAGCTGGGTTTGGAAGTGCTGGTACTCGGGGTTTTGGGGCTCATGGTAGGTGATCACCAGCACCATCTGTAACCGAGCACAGCACCCCGCTTCATGCACCGGGGCCAGGCTGGTCAGGTCCCCATCCCTGTCCCCAGGCAGGCAGGTGCAGCTCACCTGGAAAGCCTCGCGCAGCCCTGAGTCCTGGCCTGGGCTCTGCTGCCAGGGCTTGAAGGGGTCACGGGCAGAGTCGCCCCGCAGGCTCTCCCCGAAGACGTCCAGGTAGAAGAAGACGTAGTCGCCGTTGGTGAGATTCTCCCGCTGCGCCAGCTGCATGATCTGCCGCAGCATCTCCGGCGGCCCACAGAGATACACCACTGCTGGCAAGACGCAGGGCGTCAGGGGGACGATGCCACCCCACCGAGGGCACCCCGCTCAGGCATGGGGTGGGATGCTTTCCCTTGGGGCGACGGGGCAGAGCAACCCCAGGGGCACACTCGGCGGCTGCAAGGAGGATGGAGCAGGCAGATGGGGCAGTGCTCGGCTCACCGCCTTCTCATGCCACATGCCCCATGGCCACAGAGCCCACTCAGCCCCACCGCCCTCGCTGGCCCTGACCCACTCTTGCCCCATCAGCCACCTTGGGCTGAAGGGGGAAAGGAGAACAGGGGAACCCTTGCTCCAAAATATCAGGCAGACACCCCATGCACAGACCGCACACACCCTGCTCCAGCACCCATGCACACTCTGCTCCAGCAAAAGCCACCCAGGGGATGTCGCGCCTGGCATCAGCTCCCCCGCTGCTCCCCGCCAGCCCCAGCCAGGGGACCGGGGGGGACGGGAGAGGCATCGGGGCTGTACGCCGGAGGCCCCTGGGGAACAGACAAACCCATGTTTGGGTTCGTGGCCGGCCGGCCGTGCGGCAGGAATAGGTGCCCGGATTCCAGACCCTTCGGCGGCCGCCGGCGCTAATTGGAAACAGAGCATCTCGCTGGTGCGACCCACGCGGCAAGGGGGTGCCCGGGCCCCGGCCCTGGCCGGCCGCCCCGCGTGCCCCCACCCGCTGCTGGGGGCTGGGCCAGCCCCGATGGGATGCCCAGCCAGGTGCTGCGTGGGGACGGCGTGGGGCTGGCATAGGGTACCACGGGCCGTGGGGACGGGCACCCGAGAGTGTCCGAAACCCCCCCGACCAGGGTTTTTTTCTCCTCCGTCCCCCCGGAAAACCAGGGCCCCCGCTCCAGCCAGCCTGGCTGGGAACCCGGGATTGAGCAACAGAGGAGGCGGCGGCGGCGGGTGCTGGAGGAATGTCACGCTTGGGCGCTGGCCCCGGCGCGCAGCCCTTCTGCATGGGGCCCAGCGCCCCAGCCAGATCCAGAGCGCAGGGAGGGCTGGGGACAGCAAGGAAGCCCCACGCCCTGGGATGGGGTCCCTGCTGCTGGAGGGCATCCGGCCATGCAGGCAGCAGGGCTGACAGGGTCACCCACGGGGGCAGCGAGGCAGCCCATGGGTGGGAGAAGAAACCCAGCACAGCCACCCTGGGCACGGGAAACTCACAGCGATGTGGGGAGCTGCTCCTGGGCACGGGGGAGAGGGAAATCGCAGCAGCTTGGACTGTGCATGGGCAAAAGCCCATTTCAGGGTCTGAAATGGTTTCCCTCTGAGTGCCGCAATACCTCAAATAAACACTCTTGGCTTCCCCACTTCACTAGTCCCGCACCCAGAAACGTACCGTCCCCAAATTTCTCAGCCAGGATGGGCGGCTCAGCGTCTCCCCAGCACGCAGAGGCTGAGGGTCCCCCCATGGGGGGATCCAGCATGGGACCCTCCCCATCCCATTGCACGCACCAGGAAAAGGCAGCCCACGGCACTGCACGGGCTGGGGAGCCACAACAGCTGGTGGCAGATGGTGGGACACCCCAGGCAGCCGGCCCCCACGGCAGCGGCGGCAAAAGCCTGCCTGGTCAAAGGCCACCGAGCGAGGGGATCGATGGCGCCTGGACGGCTCCCCGGGGACAGGTTGCAGGAGCCGCGCAGAAGGGAAGGGTCAATGCTCGGGGCTATCCGTGACGCTGGCAGCTGCCTCCAGCTGGCAGCCTCCTGCCTGGCCAGCAGCACCCCTGCCTACTCACGCACCCCCCTGGGGGTCGGTGAATGGCCAAAGGCAGCCTCAGCATCATTGAGGACAAGGGGAACGGGGTCCTGCAAGGCTGGAGAGCATACAGCCCCCAGACATTTATTTAGGGCGTACCCACGATGCAGGAGGCAGAGTGCACAGTCCTGGGGGACAGGCAGGACCCCGAGCGTGCAGATGGGGTGGCAGGATGCTGCCTGACTCCTGCATGATGGAAGATAACGCCTAAAGTGAGGGCGAATCCCGGTTTCGGGCAGCAAATCCCTGCAAATCCCAGTTTCGAGCAGTCCCACCAGCGCAGGGCACTTGCAGCACAGAGACCCTCGCCCCAGCCAAGCGGCCGTCCCAGGCCCAGGGGGATTGCAGGGGTCAGGACCAAATGCGCTCCCCTCCCAGCAGCAGCACCTGGCCATCTCCCCAGGCGTGGGACCTGGGCTTTGCAGGCAGATGCTCCAGTAATTCCCTCAACCACAGCCCTAATTATATCAGCGCTTTTTCAAGTGGCAGGAGAGACGTGGGCCTTTGCACGTCGCCCAGGCACCGGTGAGAGAGGCAATGGGGAAGTGCAAGGCAGCCATACACGGGACAGGACAATGCACCCACATCCCTCCGTGCCCACTCTTTAGAGCCGCGAATGTTGGGCATCAGCAGCTTCGGGGGCACGTGGCGGGGCAGGCAAGCGGCTTTCAGTTTAGCAAACTCCTGCCCCACCACCTGGGAGAAGGAAGGTGACGCCAAGAGGGATGACATGTGGTGCCATTGCAGGGCATGGACATGGATGTGGCTGTGGCAGAAGTTCCTGCTTCCCTCTCCATGCCATGCCACGCAGGGGTGGGCACTCCTTGCAGGCTCCCCACTGCCTGCCCCACACCCCTGGGTTAGGAAAGCATCTAACATCAGTATCACAGCCCTGAGCACCCATCCTCTTGGGGCACCCATCCCCTTGGGGCCAAGCACTCAGCCCCATACCCTGCCCCCATCTCTGGGCTCTGGCCAGAGGGGCCCAGACCCCCCTGCATCCCGGCTCAGAGGGCCCTCAGGTCTCTGCCCACGCCTGGCCTCCTCCCCTGGCCCCCGGCAGCCACAACCCCCTGCCTGCACCAGGAGGGATCGATTCCCATCAGGGTGATTTACAGCACCAAGCCGGAAACATTGATGGGAATTGCTGATTTTAGCCTTTTTCCCTGCATGGCCCCCATCCCACATGAAGATCCACACCCCACGGCTAGTCACGGCACACCAGGGACTCTCCATCCCAGCCCCTTGGCCAAGCAAATGAGAGGGGCAGCCACAAACTGCTCAGCTCCTGCAGCCCACCATGGGATGCCTAGCCCCCTGGACCCAGCCCCACCAGCCTTAGTCTCAGGGGAATCTGGTCCAGCACCCCAAAGCACCCCGGTCACGTGCCCCAGCCTGGTCCCACACAGCCTCAGCCATGTCTCCTGCTGGCCCATCTGTCTCCACTCATCCCGGCTCAATGTCCTTCTTAATGACACAGCATCTCAGGATCCATTAAGAAGCATCGCGGAGTGGCTGGCTCCGGGATCAATACACCCCGCTCATCAATAATGAAAGAGCATCAGGCTGCCCTTGCTCTCCAGCTGCCTCTGTAAGCCCCTCCATTTCCTCCCGCTCCCAATATAGCCGCTCTCCTGGGGCGCTCACAAGGCACCAGATTGATTTATCCCTCCATCAGCAGGGTGGGGCCATCCCCAGCCCAGTCCCTGGGGCACAGGGGGGATGAGCGCAGCCCGGGGCACCCAGGTGCCAGGCTGGGGGGGCTCTGCCGGAGCATGGCACAGCTGCCTCAGCGTGTCAGCACCAGGCTGCTCTGGGCATGTAACCACAGCTGGCACTGCCCTTCAGACGGCCACGTCCACACCATCACCTTCAGCCTCCAAGGAGGCAGCTGGGTCCTGTCTGTCCCTGGGGTCGCCCTGATCCTGCTAACGCAGAGGGTGGGGTGGCCCCAGCGCCCCTCATACCACGCGTCTCACGAAGGTGAGGGTCCAGCCCAGCTCTCCCCTGGCACAGGGTGACTGGGCTGGGGGGCAGGGAGGGCAACCCCATGGCCCCCCCACCCTCCCCTGGACCCCCCCCACTGGCAACAGGGTGGCCGGGGGGTCTTGGGTCCTGCCTTATCCCCTGTGCACCCACCTCCCTGTGCAGGTCCCACTGCTCCCCTAGCCCCACCATGACAAAATGTGCCCACCCCTTGCTGCACCCTACATACAGCCTGCTTTGCCCACCCCTCCCCGTGCCCCACATGGGACCCACTGTGCCCTCAGCCCATCCTCATGCCCCACACGTGTTCCACTGCGCTCCTAGCCCCTCCCTGTGCCCCACACGGGTCCCACTGTGTCCTTGGCCCCTCGCTGTGCCCCACATGGGTCCCATTGTGTCCGTGGCCCCTCACTGCACCCCACACAGGTCCCGCTGTGTCCTCAGACCCTCACAGTGCCCCACAAAGGTGCCACTGTTTCCTTGGCCTGTTGCCGTGCCCCACATGGATCGCACTGTCTCCCAGTCCCCTTGCTGTGCCCCACACGGATCTCACTGCCCTTAGCCCCTTGCTGTGCACTACATGGATCTGAGTGGCCCCCTGACCGCTTGCTGTGCCCTAGACGGGTCCCACTGCTCCCCTGGCCCCTTGCTGTGCCCCACATGGGTCCCACTGTGCTCCCGGTCCCTCGCTGTATCCTGCACGGGTCCCATTGCGTCCCCTTTCCGTTGCTGCACCCCAGACAGGTCCGACCGCACCCCCAGACCCTTGCTGTACCCTATGTGTGCCACACAGCACCCCCGCCCCC